ATATGAGCAACTCACTGGCTATTCTGGGAAATGTTTTAAGGCTGGACAAGAGTTCCAACAATCTGGTATGAGAGTAGCATTTAACCCAACACTAGACTAGCTCTTTAATGTACATGCTATTCTAACCCAATTTAATTCCTTTGTTTTTGCCCATTTCAAAAAATCAATTGATAAAATGAAAATTTTTATTTTAATGAATAATTTAGAATTATGAATAATTACCTATCATTAAGAACTTCCTCAAAGAGCTAAAAGCCAAACCACCATTTGATCCAGCAATCTCATTACTGGGCATCTACCCAAAGGAAAACAAGACATTCTAGACATGCCATAAAAAAGACAACCTGCACGCGAATGTTTATAGTAGCACAATTAACAATTGCAAAGATGTGGAAACAACCCAAGTGCCCATCAATACGTGAGTGGATTAATAAAATGTGGTATATGTATACCATGGAATACTACTCAGCCACAAAAAACAATGGTGATCTAGCACCTCATATATTATCCCGGATGGAGCTGGAGCCCATTCTTCTAAGTGAAGTATCTCAAAAATGGAAAAAAAAGCACCACATGTACTCACCATCAAATTGGTATTAACTGATCAACCCTTATGTGCACATATAGTAATAACATTCATTGGGTGTCGGGCAGGTGGGAGGGGGAGGAGGGGAAGGGTAGGTATATTCACACCTAATGGGTGTGGTATGCACCATCTGGGGGATGGACACGATTGAAGCTCTGACTCAGTTGTGGCAAATGCAATTATGTAACCTAAACATTTGTACCCCCATAATATGCTGAAATAAAAAAAAAAGAATTTCACACTCTCATATAGCTCTGTCAGAGCATGTGATCATGATTATATGCTATTTTTTTTGTTTTTGATGCCTAAGGCTGTCTCTGTAGATGGAGAAAATATGGAATATAAATGCAAAACTTCAATAATACAATAAATACTAAATATATTTTCAAAAAAATGTGATATGGTATATAATATGCATAACCTTGAAGACCAAGAAAAATCAGTTTGAATAATATGTAACATCTGTTTTATTTCCTTGTATTCACAAGTGAAAGAAGTAATGATAGGACTTTTTTAAGGGGTATTATTTTTCTGTCCATTTATTGGATCAAATGCAGATTTGTACCATTATTATTTTTTAAGAAGTTTTAATTCTTGATCCAAGTTTCTACTCATGTTGATGGAAGGAAGATAAAAAATGTTCTTACATGTTTCCTGGAAGTAAAGAACTCTTTTGTTATAAATTCAAAACACTTTCTCTCACCTCAGATATAGACCAATACTACCTTAAACAGATTGAATTTATGATAATATTGATTATACTAAGAATGTCAATGTCATGATAATTATAATGACTACTACTTTTCAGCCCCAAAGAAACTGTCCCTAGAGATATTACCCAAATGAGAGGAAAATTCTTCCAGTCAAATTCTGCTCTATTGGGTCAGACCCTATATCTCCACCTTCCCTAGAGTTCCTTAGAGCTCTAGGTCCTCTGCTCAGCCCACTGTGGCAGTACACAGAACTCCCTGATAGCATCAACTGAAATAAGTCGTGATGTATTTTTTTAACCTAGAATTGAATTTTAACATTGCTTACTGGTTAGTTACATTCAGAAGCAGAGAAAGTATTAATAAGTATTGGTTGGCTCAATTCTCTATATCAGAACAATATAAATGAAATACGGGTGTTAATCTAAGAAAAGGGACCAATCTTCATAAAATAGGTTGTGACAATTTAGCTCTTGTTATAACTGTGGCCAGAACATTCAGAATGGTTGATTTGACAACATTCAAGGAGAACATACATAAAAAGAGAGTCTGCATAGTATAGTCTCAGGTCAGCATGATCCTAGTCTTGCCAGTAATTATCACATATTCTGTCACACATTCTTGGTTTCCGTGCTTACAAAATTAGAGGACAGTGTTGTAGAGTTTTAATCTTGGCCTTTAATTCTGTAATTCTATTTTTGTCTCCATTTTATTGCATTTGGCTGGCTTATATCAAACATCTGTAGGTTCATATCATTACCTGAAATTCAGTTCTGAAAAAACAATATTGTTTTGGTTATTTTTGAAGGTATAATGTTTTACCAAAATTTATCTTTATATATATATTTTTTAATTATTGAATGATATTTTTGCTCAGTTGAAGCTACACAAAATTTTGCCTTATGATAATATTTCTGTGTTTTGCCTTATGATAATATTTCTGTGTTTATTGTGCCTATTGTATTACAAATCCTTCAGCATAATGATGGTGATGAACACATTATTCCCATAAAAGAACAAGTAAAGAGAGTTGAATGACTAAAGGTCATATTTTATCATCCAGTTTATAAAGGACTTTTAGGTCAGGCTTATCTTACATGCATAAAAATACTAGATAAAAACAGAAAATTATGAATAGAGGAAGATTATCTATAATGCAAAGATTCATAGAAAAAGCTTACTTTTCTGAAAGGTTGAGGGATATGGATTATAAGAAATGTGGAAAGTTTGCTCTGATTACAGTTTTAATGATATGAATAGTGTCATGGTTAATTTTAAGTATCAGCCTGACTGAGTAAGTGACGCCAAGATAGCTGGTAAAACATTGTTTCTGGGTGTGGCTGTGAGGGTTTTTCAGAAAGAGATTACCATTTGAATCTGAAGGCTGAATAAAGATCACCCTCATCAGTATGTGTGGGCATCACCCAATCTGTTGAGGGCTTGAATAGAACAAACTCGAGTGAGCTCATCCCTCATAGTAAATGTCTTTCTATGTATCTGTGTTTATCATGGGGTGATATTGGTCCTGTGTCTCTGGAGAAGCCTGACTAATACAAATGTCTAGCATCCGCAAATGTGAGATATATTCATCAAAGGCATACCTAACACCACCTGATTTTATTAAAAAATAAAAGGAGACAATCAAAATTTCTGAAGGAGTTGGAAGATTAGTTCACAATTTTGAACTCCTCTCAGAAATTGAAATAAATAATATTAGAAATTTATAAAATAAGTACTTTTCTTAAAATGCATATAGACTTAAAACTCCACAGTTGAATTTTCAATGCTTAAAGTCATCTAACTAAAAGAAAATAATTATATTCTATTGTTTTGATAACTGATTCTCAAGGTAGAACTCTTTTCTGTATGTCAGTTTATACGCATATGTTTATATGTATATATAATCATGTGTATATTCTATTTTTACTTAACAATTAGTAAAACTTACATATAATGGGGGGGTCGGGAAGATGGCGGATTAAGCTGTACTACCAGGCTGTAGTGACTAAAACAGCTTGGTACTGGCACAAAAATAGAGACATTGACCTCTGGAACAGGACTGAGAATCCAGAGATGAAACCATCTGCATATGGTAATCTAATCTTTGACAAAACTGACAAAAGCATACACAGGGAAAAAGAATCCCTTTTCTATAAATGGTGCTGGGAAAACTGGATAGCTACATGTAGAAGACTGAAACTAGACCCCCACCTCTCACCTCTCACAAAAATCAATTCAAGATGGATAACAGACTTAAACCTAAGGCATGAAACCTTAAGAATTCTAAATGAAGATGTTGGGAAGACCCTTTCAGACATCAGCCTAGGCAAGGAATTCTTGAAGAAGAACCCCAAAGCAATTGCCGCAGCAACAAAAATAAATAAGTGGGATCTAATCAAATTAAAAAGCTTCTGCACTGCTAAGGAAACTATCATTAGAGTGAATAGACAGCCCACAGAATGGGAAAAAATATTTGCTCTCTACACATCTGATAAAGGGCTGATAACCAGAATCTATCCAGAACTCAAAAAAATCAACAAGAAAAAATCAAACAACCCCATCAACAAATGGGCAAGCGAAATGAACAGAAACTTTTCAAAAGAAGACAGAATAATGGCCAGCAAACATATAAAAAAATGCTCAACATCTCTAATCATTAGAGAAATGCAAATCAAAACCACAATGAGGTATCACCTAACCCCGGTGAGATTGGCCTCTATCAAAAAAACACAAAACAACAAATGTTGGCGAGGATGTGGAGAGACAGGAACACTTTTACACTGCTGGTGGGACTGCAAATTAGTGCAACCTCTGTGGAAAAGAATTTGGAGATACCTCAGAGAGCTAAAAATAGAAATACCATTCGATCCAGCAATAGCACTATTAGGCATCTACCCAAAAGAGCACAAAACATTCTACGATAAAGACATCTGCACCCGAATGTTTATGGCAGCACAATTCACTATTGCAAGAATGTGGAAACAACCCAAGTGCTCATCAATCCATGAGTGGATTATCAAAATTTGGTATATGTTTACAATGAAATATTAATCATAAGAAACGACAGTGATCTAGCACCTCTTATACTTTCCTGGATTAAACTTAAGCCCATTATCCAAAGTGGGGCACCACAAGAGCAGAAGAACGGGATCCATTTGTACTCACCATCAAATTGGTATTAACTAATCAACACATAAATGCACATATAAGAATAACATCTATTGGATGTTGGGCAGGGGGAGGGGGGAGAGGGGAGGAGGGAGGAGGGGACGGGTATTTGTATACACAAGGAGTGCAATGCGCACCATCCGAAGGATGGACATATTTGAAACACGGACTTGGTGGGGGGGGACCAAGGGCAACATACGTAACCTAAACATCTGTACCCCCATTAATATGCTGAAATAAAAGAAAAAGAAAAAAAAAAACTTACATATAAGTATTTACCCATAATTGAGTTAAATGAACCAAACAGAAACCACATTTTTTAATTAGATCCCTTATTGGAATTGGACACAAACCAGCTATTATCCCCCAAGCTGAAGATACAAGGAGACATGATGCAGACACACTTATTCAATGAGTTCCTTGAAATTCTTAGATTTCACCTGCTAAAAGACCTAGGGTGAACTCAGCCCATTCACTGAAGAATATTTTAGCAAATCCACTCATAGTAACATATGTTGGATTACTATAGCAATAGTTCAGTAGAAGCCAGAGAATCCGTATCTTCCATAGAATGACGGGTGGTAGCCGTATCCGTAGCCTCCATAGCCACTGCCGTAGCCCAGTCCACGGAAGTTGCCACATCCACAGCCATAGCCATAGCCCAGGCCACCAAAGCCTCCATAGCCAAAGCCCAGGCCTCCGTAGTAGCTGCCGTAGTAGCTCATAGTGTCAGGGGTGGTGAGTTGGTTTGCTGTTCAAGGCGAGATCCTGAGTGTGAATGTCAGCATGTGTAGAGGGAGGCTTATATACCCTGATCAGGGCATGTGGTGACAACGATGGCCATTCTTTCGTAGCATTCCAAGTTATTCATTTACTTGATGCAACTCATTAATCTGCTAACACGGGAGAGGCACACACTCATTAAAATTTTTGAACTTATTTAGCTGCTCAGTTAGAACACCCTTGAACTCGTTACATTCTGTTTTTTTTTTTTTATAATGAAGAGAAAATCTATGGCTTCAAAATTGCAAAGTAAAAAATTCTCTAAATAGAATTCTTCCTTACCAAGCATAGTGTATCATTTGTATTTGATAGTGTTTTGTCATTAAATATTTTCCTATTTCTCACTTTTATATCAGTCTTTGGATTGGTATATCTTACTTCCACCTAGATTCAAATACATTGATCAAGTTTAACACTTTTAAATCTAGCAAATTTTTCAAATAAATGTATTTCTCAGGTTGAGAAATAAAGGATATGCCCTCCTTCAAAAGCAAAGAAACCATTTTGAATAAACAAATCTTCTGATCATCTGTGATATATACAAAGTAATAGGAAAAATATATATATAGGCACAATATAAAACTATTTTGATTTTAGCTGTCAGCTTGCAAAACATCCTTTCAGTTTATCAAGAAAATAAAATTTATTTCAGAAACTGAAGTATAATCCAAGAGAACAAATTCACTTTTCTAACCAACCTGAACATCTGTTAAAAATATTTTCTTTATCCAATTACCCACTTTTCTAGAATGACTTGTACTTAAAGTATTAATATTATGTAGAAACGCAGTTGATCTTTGTTCCGTGCTTTACAGACATCTACTCTTCCTCGTAATCTATATATCAGTTCTCTTTATCAAACTTCTTTTTGCATTGCATTATGCATCCACTTCCAATACATACTAGCACCAGCTAGATATTCCTTCTTAGTCATTTTTTCCACTCCCTTTCAACATTGTACTCATAGACCTAATTTTATCACAGTATTTTTGCCCTTATATTTGTTTTTCCAATTCTCTGTGCCTCACCCCCTTATTTTCTCTCAATCAGCAAGACTCACTTATTCATGAGATTCACTGATTCATTAAGGTTTTTAATTTTTGGAACCATATTTCTATACTCTTTGGATCATATACTATTTTTAACAGAGTGATTAAAACATCGAAGCCTTAAAATCTCCAAATTTAAATTTGCAACTTTGAAATGACTGGGACAGAAAGCAAGGATGCAAGGGGAGCCGGCCAGTTTTCACAGATTTCCTCAGCTCATTCTGGGGAGAGAGTAAATCAAGCCCAAGTTTAAGTCCGACCAGAATTTGATCACATCTTGGGCTTGGGTCTTTAAGCACTATGTTGCTTTACATAATTTTATACATGTTGCTCAAGGTATATGTTGTTTCGAGGTTTATATGTAACAGGTTAATAATTCATTTTCTCAAGTGGATTTGTTCACTGCTCTTCCAAACAACCGAAAAAAAAAAATTTTTGTTGGGTGAATGAAAGAATAAATTCTGCCTGCCACAACTTGTTGTGAATCCCTAGGTAAAATATGAACTCAAATGGCTTTCAGGTTTTATAGGAATATTTAACCCAATATTTTGCCTTGGTTGTTAAATACCTTTTATTCCTTATCACAATTCATTCTATCTTCACTTTTTTTCTGGAAAAGAAAACTGCTGGGAAATTTTTTCATTCTCAATGAGTAATTTTGAAGCCAAACAATAATAAATAAATCTAACAAGTTTAAGAATCTCATGAATGCTTAGATAAATCTGCTAGACTGTGTGACCCTGACTAAGGGCTAATTTGTGTAGTTTCTGATGCACGTAGCTATGTCCATGTGAAATAAAAACCAATAGATTTTAAAAATTAAATAAAAGCTCAACAACGAAATGTGCCCTGATTTATTTATGTATTTTCAAAGAAGAAAATAATGATACATATATATATAAATATCTTGTTTTGATATATATACACACATCTATAATGCATGTGTATATATACATGATCAAGAATAAGTTGTGAAATAATGCCTTGACATACACGAACCAAAACAACCAATCATTTTTTATTGGTTCTTTTCCTGATTGAAAAAAAATAGAAGAATGGTAATATCCTTTGGCTACTGATTACCTTTGGAAACTGAGAAATATACATTTATTTTGACATTGTTGTTTTTGCTTAATTCAGTGGACTCAAAAACTTGGGCAATTATTTCTTTGTCATTCTCTTTTTGAGAGATTTGTACCATAAGATGATGAGTTGATTGTGAAGCTGAGATCCTGTGTTGATGTGTGAAATGGTGAAAATAAAGTCTTCTGTTTGCCAAGTGATAGTTTTTATTTGGAAATTAAGGATATTTTTTCTGTAAATTCAAAAAAATTGTCTTCACTTAAACATGAATTAAATAACTAATGGGCCATAATGAAATTTGATAATGTATTTTACTATGAGTGTCATACACAATGCTTCTCAACCTAAAGACATTGATGATTGCTTTTATTTTTAGCCCTGAAGGCTATGTCCATTAGCTTTGGAACTATATTAACCCTAATGACTAAGTGCAAAGTAATGGGACCACACAACTGTATCTCACTGTACATCATGACCCTATAACCACCAAATAGGATCAACTGGAAGGATAGATGATTCCTGATGGTGGATAAAATTTAACTTTGTGCCTTTCAAATAAAGGCTTTGATCTTTTGATATAGATGTACATATACAGATAACTATAGGTATATCTATATGAATAGATATGCATATAGATACAAATCTAGGTGAAATCTAGATAAAGTTAACATTAAATTTAAGATTCTCAATTATCTATATTAGGACAGTAAAATGTTATAGAAATAGTGATTCTAAGAAAGGGAATCCTCCTTCACATCCCCAGAAATTCAGCTACATTTAGGGACACTGAGCAGAACTTTTAAAATACTCTCTTTGGCTGCATACAGGGGGAAAGTAGATTGGGAAAGGAGACTGCCTCGTGGCACCTGCATTCAGAAGACCTTGGCCATAATCCTGATCCTGATTCTGCTAATAGAGCTGCTATAACTTTTGGGAGCTGTTTATTTTTTTAACCTACAAGATGAGGTGAACGTCACTGCTCTCATTAATGTCTGTTCTAGTTCAGCAACTTTATACTACTAAATGTGTGACTAAATCAAACATATTTAACCAATTTTGACAAATTTAAACAAAATATCTTAATTTTATATTGTTATCTGAGTATATAATTTGATTTTAGGAAAAGTACTAATTTTTTATGTTTTTTTTTTCTTATTTCATCAATAAAATACCCACTCCTGTCTATTTGTTATCAGGAAAGAGATTTAACTGAAATCAGCTTTGTAAGAAAGCTCTTTGGATTGAACTGTGCTTGTCATTAGCCTAAGCTAAAAATAATTTATAATAAAGTCTTATTTTTTCCCTTGTTAAATTGCAAAATTTTCAGTCTAATGATGATGGTGATAAGAATGCCATACCATGCCATGGGAAAGTCAACTGACAAAATGCTAAAATGTTTTAAGTTAAATATGAGTTAACTTCATCTGAAAAAAATTCTACACCAATTCATTAGTGACTTATGGATTCCTTGTTCAATGAAAATGTCAAATGAAATAATGTGCAGAAGAGAATGGCAGGATGAGATTATACAAAATACTAAAATTCTTAGAAAGAATGTATACTTTAGTAATTAGCCTAGCGATATGGTTTCATCTGTTATCATTTGCTTGCTCTTACAATAAAAAAGCCAAACAAACACATTTTGAATGTATAGAAGTATCCATAATGCATTTCTAGTGAATTGAGACATGGGAGTTAAATTAAATGAAACATATACGTTTGATATATAAATATATATGTGTTAAGTTTGCATTGCTTTGTTTTTGACTTAAATTTGGATATTATCTAAATAAAAGCAAAAGATTAAAGAATGTCAAATTACTAATCCTTTTGAAGCATTTATTTTCATTTCAATCTAGAATCATTTTTACTTGAAACTATCTATTTATTTGTCTATCTGCATGCATGTTTATGAGGTGTATGAAAACAATAGATTCTCAGTCCAGCCAAGAGATATCTTCCCTCATTGACAACTGAGTGGAAGGGAACCATCATACTTACGCATAACTGAGTTTCACGAACAAAACAGAAACCAGATTGTGTTTTCAAATTAGGATGTTTTATTAAAAGATAAACATATAATTAGTTATAAAAGCAAAAGTAGAGGATACTAGGAGATGGAGATATGGGTATTTGTTGAAAAATTATCTGAAATTCTGAGATGCTAAATTCTTTTGTGAAAATAAATCTAAGGTGTCCAATGATTGAAATCAGCTTTGGAAAGTCCCCTTATAATTTCAGACATTGGGTTACTGGGGCAATAGTTTAGTAGAAACCCGAGGATCCATATCCTCCATAGCATGATGGGCGGTAGCAGCCATATCCGTAGCCTCCATAGCCACAACCATAGCATAGTCTGCGGAAGCCACATCCACAGCTGTAGCCATAGTGCAGGCCACCGAGGCCTCCATAGCTGTAGTCCAGGCCTCTGTAGTAGCTGCAGTATTAACTCATGGTGTCAGGGGTGGTGAGTTTGGTTTGCTATTTCAAGGCAAGATCCTGAGTGTGAATGTCAACATGTGTAGAGGGAGGCTCACATACCCTGGTCAGAACATGTGATAAATCACATGTATACCCTCCTTTTGTACCATTCATTTTATTACAGTTACTTAATAAAGCTCATTCATTGTCCCCTGACACCAGCAGAGGCCCTCACATTCATTAAGCTTTTGAGCTTGCTTTCTTGCCAAGTTAGGTAGCCCTTAAAAGTTATTGCATCATATAATGAGAAGGAATTGCTGTATCTTCAAAGTCTGAACATACCAGACCACAAATAGAATTCTTCACAGCCAAGCATGTTACAACAATCATATTTGTTGCTGTTGATGCTTCAGTTAAATATTTCTT